AGAAGCGGTGCATGCGGGTGCACCAACGCAAGTACCTGGAGGCATTGGCTGCCAACTTTGGGCAGAATGAAGGCCATGTGGCTACACCCTTTCCCTCTGGGTTCAAGTGTGTGAAGGGACCAGAGGAGGAGAGCGTGGGTGAAGAGGAGAGGCGCCGATTTCACTCATTGGTGGGCAGCCTCATGTATGCAGCGGTCAACACACGACCGGACGTCGCGTTTGCTACCGGGCAGCTGGCAAGGGTTGTGCAATGCCCTAATGAGGAGCAGGTAGCAGCTGGAATGAGGGTGGCCAAGTACCTTGGCCAAACACCGACTGTTGGGCTGCAATACTCGGCAGCGGCGCAAAGGCGCCAAAAGGGCGCGGATGGTGTTGAACCCGGGCGATTGTTCCTCACCGCCTACTCGGATGCATCATATGCATCAGAACCAGAGGACATGACAAGTGTTGGAGGGTTCATTTGCTGTGTTGGTGGAGGTCCAACTGCTTGGGAGAGCAAGAAGCAGGTGGACCAAGCATTGAGCTCGGTGGAGTCCGAGTACATGGCACTCTTCCATGCGGTACGGGAGATTGTGTGGCAGCGGCGTTTGTTGGCTGAATTGGGGGAGGAGCAGCAAGGACCTACCCCACTCTACTGTGACAGCCAGGGAGCCATAGCTCTAGCCAAGAACCCTGTGTTACACGGGTTAACAAAGCACATGAGGGTGAAGTGGCATTGGACGAGGAGCATGGTGGCCGCGGGTGAAGTCGAGTTGCGCTACGTGAAGACGACGGGGCAGCCAGCAGACATGATGACTAAGAGGCTGGTGGAGCAGCAGCATTGGAAGTGTTGCAAGCTGGCTGGGATGGCTCTGAACTGAGAGAGCAAGTTTATAAGGCCAACAACCCGAGGGGGAGTTTGTTGGTGCAACCTACGGTTTGCACTCGGCTTGTTGTCCGTGTGCGTGCATGCATGTGTGCATGGAGTGGTATGAGTGCATGAAATAAATATATATTTCATGCTTATAATGGTGTGTGAATGATGGGTCATGATGTCGAGTGTGTGTGTCAAGTCAATAGCGAATTATCGCTAGCCGCGTATTACGCGGTTATTTTGTGTGTCCCGCGCGGTTTCTATTTTGTCGTGCGCGGTTTCTATTTTGTCGCTTGTCGAACGTTCGGCGTGTCGCAGGTGTGTGTAGCAGACCCATCAAGAACTCAAGGATGAGTTTGTGGTGAAGAACCCGAGCCTTGGTTCAAGCTTCAAGTGTTTTCGAAGCTCGAAAATATATTGAAGATATTGAAGATAGTTACATTACAATGTGTAGTGTAACATTTCTATGGGTGTAGGCCCTTGTGGAGGGTAGTTTCGAGACCCTTCTTGGTTGGGGACAGTGTGGCACTGTTCCACATCACTGTACCTCGGCTCTTGGGGTTTGTAGGAGCTGGGAGTCCTTCCCAACTCGTAACTCTTCCTAGCTGTTCGTAATTGTGTTTTCAAAGAGTGTGTTGCTGCCATAGTGCCGTTCGTTCAATTCGACGCTGTGTCGTCAATTCTTGATGAAATCGTGCGATCTAAATTGCCTATTGTAGGCGACGTTAAGACGCTCCAGATCCAAGTTGAATGAGGTCAATTGGAGGTGTGAGCAGATCGCTATGAACGTTTAAAGCCGCTGTGCAGAAACCTGACTGCGCACTCTATCTTTCGCTCAAGGCACATTGAAGCCTATTGGAGCCTATTGTGACTATAACAAGTGGTATCAGAGCCAAAGGTCTCCGGTTCGAGTCCCAGTGTGCGCCAAGTGAGCGCCAGTGCCCTAACGAGCCCCAAGTGAGGGGGAGACGACCCCAGTGAGGGGGAGATTGTTGGTGGGGCACTGGGATCGTCCCGAGTTGAGTGTGGGAGGGCTACAGGCGCGGCCTGGGGGGTTATGGGTGTGCTACCCACCATACAAACATGCCCTTTTAACCCAGTCGGTAGCAGGCTGGGCCAACAAACCCAAGAGTCGCAAGTGTCGTCCTCAGTGTGTCGTGCCACTCACGAGGCGCCTGACGGAGACTGTAGACTAGCCGACGGAGGCTCCACTAGGTACCAGGAGGGAACGACCCAGTGAAGCCAGGTGGGCGGCGCAGCCAGATCTCCTCGTGCAGACTGCCTTGTAAGAAGGTTGTGCTGAAGTCCAGAGAGAGAAGCTCGTAGTCACACTGAGCGGCAACGTGTAGCAGCACCCGAAGAGTGGTCATCTTCGGGGTGGGGGAGAAGGTCTGGAAGAAGTCAACTCCCTGTCACTGACTGAAGCCTCGAGCAACGTAACGAGCCTTGAAGACAGGCGGAGAACCCGGCGGCCGCTTCACCCTGAAAATCCACATGCCATCGACTACGTTCGCCCCAGGAGGGGAAAATGCGTCGACGTAAGTGCCTGTGGACTTCCAGGATGCCATCTCTGCGTCCATGGCTGTCTGCGATAGAGAGGAGTACTCACCCGCGATCGCCTCAGCGTAAGAGCGCGGGGTCGGGATGTCTGGTGCATCCGGGTCTCCCTCAAGGGCAAGCAGCATGGCCACGAGATGAGGTACAGCAGCCGCAAGACACTCAAAGTCCTCCTGCCTGTCCTCAAGGATGTCCGTGCCAAGAGCACACTCACCCCCGACGGACGGAGGACAGACAGACTCAGACTCAGCAAAAAGAATAGCAGCGTAGTCTAGACGACAGGCAGCAGCAAAGTCAACAAGCTCAACGACTAGCAGACGCAGCAGTGGACTCAAACGAAGGGTCAGTGACAACAGTGGCGAGCAGACGCGTGACAGTAGGGTGCGCAGCACGAACGCGGTCAGACTCAGGGTCTAGAACGTCAGGCAGAGAAGACTTAGGAGGGGATAGTAGGGGAACACGCTGTGGAGCAGAGGAAGGACGAAGTGCCATGAGGTGCGTGCCAGGGACAGGAGGCGGACGCTCACGAGGAACACGACGACCGGTACAAACAGTGCGAACAGGTGAGACAGTACGAGACGCAGGCTCACGATGCTCAGCAAGACCTCCTGTCTGCTCAATGTAAGGAGAAGGAGCAGGCAGTGGTGAGCCAGGCTGTAACGGAAGACCTGGCGAAGCACGGAGTCAGACGGTGGCAGAGACGACGGTGATGACGGAGCGAAAAAGCAAACGCGGCTGTGCAGTGCCACTAGCACCAGTAGCTCCAGCACATCCAGCAACTCCAGAACCTCCAGCACCAGGTCCTCCAGCGCCAGCACCTCCAGCAGCTCCAGAACCTCCAGCGCCAGCACCTCCAGTACCAGCGCCACCAGCAGCTCCAGAACCTCCAGCTCCAGCGCCTCCAGCGCCAGCACCTCCAGCAGCTCCAGAACCTCCAGCGCCAGCACCTCCAGTACCAGCACCAGCACCAGCAGCACCCCCAGAACCGGCACCTCTAGCCCCAGGGTCTCCAGCCTCAGTGTCTCCAGCAACAGCACCCCCAGAACCGGCACCTCCAGCTCCAGGGTCTCCAACCCCAGGGTCGACAGCAGCACCTCCAGGTCCAGCAGTACCTCCAGCCCCAGCAGCTCCAGTACCTCCAGTACGAGCACCTCCGAGACCAGCAGCTCCAGTAGACAAAGTACCGCCAGTCTCAGCACGCTCAGACTCGACATCCCCAGGATCGGCACCCCCAGCTCCAGTGACGTCAGCAGAAGCGCCTCGAGTAGCAGATTCACCAGCTCCAGTGCCTCCAACGCCAGCTCCTCCCACAGCAGGGCCCCCCAGCTGCAGCAGCACGACCCTGACGGCAAATGTTCCACTCACGCAGCTGCTGTGTGGAGAGAGGCACACGCCGATGAGAGTGCTGCGGCGAGGCACCAGCGGAGCGACTACGTAGGCGGCCGCTCCAAGGAGACTGCTCACCAGGCGCCTCAGTACCCCCAGGCGCAGCACCCCCAGACTCAGTACCCCCAGGCTCAGCACCCCCAGGCTCAGCACCCTCAGGCTCAGCACCCCCAGGCTCCTCACGCTCAGGCTCAGCACCTCCAGGCTCTACACCCTCAGGCTCAACACCCCCGGGCTCCGCACCCTCAGGCTCAGCACCCCCAGAAGCAGCACCCCAAGCAGGACCACCCCCAGCAGGACTTGAGTCACCAGTGACCTCAACAGGCTCAGTCAAGGGAGGAGGGTCTACCTGAGACACACCTGAAGGAGCAGGACCTGGAGGGGGGAGGGGGTCTACCTGGGGGGGACCTGGAGCGAGAAAGAGCGGCGGGGGGGGGGGAAGAGGGGCAGTGCGGTAGGGAAAGAGACGGTAAAAGGGGACCGACTCGTCAAAGGTGACGTCCTGAGACGCAAAGACATGGCGCGAGGCGGGGTCGTAAAACTGCCAGCCAGGCGCGTCAGGGGGAAAGCCAAGGAAGACGCAGGGAATGGCGCGAGCGGAGAGCTTGTCCGCAGTGGTATCGCGGACAAAGGCACGGGCACCCCAGACCCGGAATCGCGACGCATCGCCAACCTCCCCCGTCCAACGTAGTGTGGGCGAAGTCTCCGGCACGGAGACACGGGGCCAGAGGTTGAGCTCAGCCAATGACTAAGCCAATGCAGCGCTCAGCAACCCCATTCTGCTGCGGGGAGGCCGGAAGCGTGAACGACTAGAGGATGCCCTCCTCCTCACAAAAGGCTCGCAAGAGGTCGGAGGTGAACTCACCACCTCTGTCAGAGTGCAGAATTAGGACAGGAAAGTCCGAGTGGAACCGCTCGCGGAGCTAGAGACGAACAGCGCGGATCCAAGGGATCAAAACAGCAGGGACATCCCCCTTGCGCTGCAAGGGGAAGACCGTGGTGTAACGCGTGTAGTCGTCGACGACCAGCAGGAAGTACCGCTCGCGGCCCTGGACACGGGCTGGGCCCCACCTGGCCACGTTCACACATGCACTTGGGTCAGGCGGCATACACAAGTAGCAGTCACCCTCAGCACTAACAGTCAATGCATACATGGCAGCAAGAATTGCATCATAGTCAAGATCAAAGACTAAGAACATCACGCCTAAGCAGGTCTGCCCAGGGGGGGAACTCAGTAGCCTCAGGAAACTTGTCGCGGCAGGCGTCGCTAAGCCGAGAGAAGCAGCGGTACTCAGTGTGAAACTTGCATGGCTGGCCAGCGCGGGCGCCTGTGCGAATGATATACGGGCAGCGAACAGGACCCCCAGACGCCCCACGCTGAATGCACAAGTCACAAAGCTGCTGAGTCGTGGGGGTCTCGCGCTGACGCTGCTGTTGCTGCCCCTGGCCACCACTGGAGCCCACTTTCTGGCCGATCCCACTCCAGCCCCCACCGCCGCTGCCACCACCGCTCCCTCCTCCCCCACTACCGCCGCTGCCACCTCCACCGCTCCCGGTACCATCGCCGCCCCCACCACCGCCTCCACCCCCACGACCACCCCCACCACCTCCACCTCACCCGCCGCCTCCACCACCGTCCCCTCCACCGCCACCTCCACCTCCCCTGCCACCCTTGCTGCCCCTGGCTCCGCGGCGCTTCCCACTAGGAGCGGAAGCAGCCCCGACCTCCTCAGCACCAAGGAAGTCGACAGCAGCAGCAGCAGAGGCGTAGGAGGGGGCAAGAGGGGAGGGGGAGCACCCCTCAAAGAGGGGAGTGCGAGGAGTGCCACGAGCAGCACCTACAGCGAGAATACTCTTTTCCGCTGCTAGGAGGTGCTTCTCAAAGTCGGCGACAGTGAGAGTGGTAGGGTCTAGGGCGAGAAAGTGGTCCCTGACTGAACGAAGAGTGTCAGGGAGGCGGGTGACGAGGAAGTAGAGAGTAAAGTACATCGGGGGGGATTCTCAGCGAGGAACTCGTCTGGAAGGGCGGCACGAAAGCGAGCGTCACTAGCGCGAAGGTGAGAGATGAGGCCTTAGCGGTGATAAACGAGGACAGGTCGGGGAACAGGTAGGGTGGGATAAGACGACCTAGGGCTGCAGTGGCTGGGGAAGAGTAGCGGGCAACTACAATGGTATACAGTGCCTTAGCTGTCTTGTGCTGGCTAAAGTGCGCGCGCTCAGTGATCGGCAAATGATTTTGAATAGTGAGGCGAGCAGCAGCATCACGGGTCTGCCACTGTGAGCGAGCGAGAGCGTCAGCGGTGTCATAAGGAGCAACGGAGGAGCCAGAGGCGTGATCGTACAGGGAATCACCGTCTTTGGCATCGGTCATAAGGAACAGTTGCAGGTCGTCGAGCCAAGTGGCGAATTGTATCGGGCGACCGTCAGGCTCAAATGAGAGGACGTTTAGAGTTGCCATGATCGCAGCGCAGGTAAGGGCAGCGTGCGGGCGGCTGGGCAGAGAGCAGGCTGGGAGAAGCTGCACGCGGGGCTGCAGTGGCGGCACACGGCAAAGGCAAAGCAAAGGCAGGGCGCGGGCTGCAGGTGGGCGGTGCGCTGGCCGGCAGAGGCAGCGTGCGCGCGGGGAAGGGGCAGCGCGCGGGTAAGGAGCAGCGCGCGGGTAAGGGGCAGCGCGCGCGCGGGTAAGGGGCAGCGCGCGTGCGGGCAGAGGCCGCGAGCGGGCGGCGAAGGTGGCGCGCTGGCCAGCAGGGGCCGCGCGCGAGCAGGCGACGGCTGCGCGCGGGCGGCGAGGGCGGTGCGCGGGCCTGACGGGCCTGCAGGGGCAGCGCGCAGGCGGGCAGAGGCAAAGTGCGGGCCGCGCGGGCTGCTAGCGGGCGACGCGCGGGCAGCAAGCGGGCGACGCGTGAGCTGCAAACGGGCGACGCGCGGGCAGAGGCAGAGCGCGGGCCGTGCGGGCTGCTAGCGGGCGACGTGCGGGCAGCAGGCGGGCGACGCGCGAGCTGCAGGGCAGGGCAGGGCACGCGCGAGTAGCGCAGCGCAGGGCAAGGCAGGGCAGGGCGCGCGCTAGAGCGCAGCGCAAGGCAGGGCGCGCGCAAGGAGCGCAACGTAGGGCAGGGCGTGAGGTAGCTCGGTAACCGCAACGGTAGGTGGGCCCGAAAAAAAATAAAAACAAAAAAAAAAACAAAACAAAAACAAAACGGTCCTACGGACCTACTGCTCTGAATACTATGTCAAGATTAGGAGCAGGAATGAATGCACTATCAGAGAGTTTGGTACAAATACAAACCCTAAAGGGGTTGTACCCCATATTGGCTACCCCACTACAGCTTACACATTATAACACAACATATATAGTTTGACAGGGAAATGTTGTGGCGTAGGCCCGGAGCGCGGGTTACCAGCCGAGCCGTGAGGCTGGGTCGCGTTGTGTACAGTGCCAGGAACAGTGGTGGTGAGTGTCGCGAATGGTACCAGTGCACTGTTGGGTTCTGTTGGCACGAATAGTGGGGTACGCGGTAAGCAGGGGCACGAAATAAGGGTAAGGAAATTTCCTTACACTACCCCCCTTCCCAAGAGGCCCTCCTTACGAGAGTGCATGTAAATCCTGGAAGTTGCGGCTGCGTAGGTATTCAGTGAGGATATGGTGGTTTTTTATTCTATCCAAGGGCGCCCAGTTGTCTTCGATGGGCGTGCAGTCTTTCTAGCGAATTAGGAATTCAATCCTGCAAGCTCCACGTGGATCATGAAGTCGGTGGCTCGGATTTTTTTCGGGTGTGATGATAAGCTCCGTTGGTGGTCGTGTCATGCTGGCTGGGCGACTGCGTGGCACTTGGCTGGTCGACGGGACTTATGGGCAGAGTAGACTAACATGGAATGACGGGCTGACGTACCAAAAAGTGGGTAGGAGGAGGTGGGCGGTGACGAGTTTAAACATGTGACTAATGCACAATGACGGAATGACGGGCATGCGGAGGTTTTGAGTGTCGAGTAAAACAAGGTCGTTGAGCTGGTAAGTGACGGGACTCAGGAAGCGATCGGGGTTGCGCTTAGCGATGATGTTGGATTATTTAATGACGTCAGCTGCTCGGGTCCGGACGGCCTGTGAAATTTTGGAGAACTGTTGTGCGCGTGGGGCTAGGTTGTCGAGATTTGGGGTCATTGGTACTGTGGGGTTTTTGTCCGTAGTTGGGTAGAACACTGACTGTTGTGTCGTGGCTGATTTGGAGTTGTACGCAAATTTGACGAGTTGCAGCTGCTGCTCCCAAATTGTCGGGTCGTTGCACGTGGCTCGGATTAGCTGCTCCATGGTCTGATTTGTCCGCTCTGTTTGACCGACAGTTTCGGGGTGGTCGAATGAACTAAATTGTAATCACGTGCCGAAATGCTGCCATAGGTTTCTACAGAAGTTGCTGTCAGAATGTGATATTTGTGTAGTCTGCAGTGGGGTACTGTATAGCGAGTACAGCCCGGTTAGGGTTTGCCATTTGTATCCCAACTGCCTGCTAGTGAAACCCCTCCTCCTTTCATTCCTGTTTTACCTAGCTGATTTAACATGCTGTCAGAGCGTCTATGCTCCTAGCCTGTGGGCCCACCTGCTTCCGCTGCTCTACTGGCGCGCGATGTTTTTTCTTCCCACCACGCGCTCGGCGCGTGTGGCGGTTTTCAGCCCGCCACACGCTCGGGGCGCGTGGCGGATTCCTGCCCGCAGCGCGCCTTGGGCGCGCGCAGCGGTTTTCACGCCCCGTCGCGGCGCCCCCGGGGACCCGCACGCCGGCCCCTGTCGCCCGTCGCGGCACCCTCAGGGACCCGCACACTCCTCCCGTCGTCCGTCGCGGCGCCCTCAGGGACCCGCGCGCAACCATCTGTCGCTCGTCGCGGCGCCCCCGGGGATCAGCGTGCCGTCCCCGTCGTCCGTCGCGGCGCCCCCCCGGGGATCCGCGCGCCACCCCCCGTCGCCTGTCACGGCGCCCTCGGGGACCCGCGCGCCGCTCCTTGACCCCGTGCACCGCGGGGCTGCTTCCCCCCTGCCCCTCCCCTTTCTCCTTCCTCTCCCTCTTGCGCCTGCAGCTATGGGGGTGGTGGGTGTGTGAGCCGTCCCCTGCTCCTCCTCCTCCTCCGTCTCCCACTGCTATGGCTGACGATGAGGGGGGTGGATGTGTGGGAGCCGAGGGAGTGGCGCTAGGGGGGTGCCGTGGGAGTGGAGCTAGGGGTGCAGCAGGGGGGGGGGGTGAAAGGGGGTCTGCGACAGTGGGGGAGGTTGAACGGAGGTAGCCGTTGTGGAGCCAGCAGCGCCAGTAGTCCGTACGCCCTTGCTCCGGTAGCCAGCGAGCCCGTTGCGCCAGTCGCCCGTGGGTCCGTTGCTCCAGCCGCTCGTCTTAGCCGCGGAGCCAGTTACTCCAGTAGTCCGGGGCCCTTGCTCCGGTAGCCCATGTGCCAGTTGCTCCAGTAGCCCGTGTGCCAGCAGCTTCAGCCGCCGCCTCCAATCTCCTCTCCTCTCACAGTCCCTCCTCCTCCTCACGAGTCCTCTATGTCTGCTTGCTGTGCTGATTATACCTTACTTTGCCTATGGGGGTGTGTCAGAATGTGATATTTGTCTAGTCTGCAGTGGGGTACTCTATAGTGAGTACAGCCCTGTTAGGGTTTGCCATTTGTATCCGAACTGTCTGCTAGTGAAACCCCTCTTCCTTTCATTCCTGTTTTACCTAGCTGCTTTAACAGTTGCTGGTGAATTTCATGTTGCGGTCACCGATGATTGCTGCAGGTATCCTGTGCAGTCGATCGACGGTGGGGAAGATGGGGCGTTTCTTTGGCTGAGATTGACTTGCTGCGCGCGGCAAAATGGCCCATTTTTATTAGCCGATCAACGGCGACCAAGATCGCGCCGTTCCCACTCGCCCCAGCCGGTAACCACGTGAAGAAGTCCAGCGTAACATGCTGCCAAGCACGCTTTGGGGGTGGTATCAGCTGCATCTGTCATGCCGGCCGCTTTCGTGATGACTTCATGAGCTTGCAGGTGGGACATGATGCCACGTGTCACTACGTCGGTCAGGCCAATAGTTATCGACCCCGAAATGCCCTGAGGTAACTCCGTTGTCTACCTCTTGTCGCAGTAATTCCCGTTGTAAAGTATAGCCCGGTATCCAGATGCAATCGGTACCTGCTGCTACGTAATAAACCCACTTTTCTTCTGCAAACTGCTACGAATTTTGTCCAGTGTAGAACGGGTCTGTCTGGTAGCCGTGGGTAAATTGGTCTTTAAGCAGTGGGCTGGTCTGGGCAAGTAGTAAGGTGTGTTTCTGGGCAGTTGGGCGGTCGATGCGTCGGCGATATTCAAGGTTCCCTTTTTGTAGGTGACCGTTTAGTGGAAGCTAGACTTGAGGAAATCAAGCGAACGAACTTGTAGTGGGTTGAGGTAAGGCTGTCCACAAAGGTACTTTAGTAATTTACGCCTGTCCGTACTGTCACGTCAGCGCTGGTCAATTAACAGTGGAACGACGGTGGAGATGAACAGTCGGACCATTTATTTTGCTGAGATTGACTTCTTGCACGCTGCAAAATGAGCCATTTTCATTAGCCGATCAACGACGACCAAGATCGCCTCGTTCCTGCTCGCCCCAGCCAGTAAACTCGTGACTAAGTCCATCATCACCTACTGCCAAGCACGCTCTGGGGGTGGTATCGGCTGCAACTATCCTGTTGGCCGCTTTTGTGACGACTTCATGAGCTCGCAAATTGGACGCAATCCTCATGTCACTGCACGCCGGTAAGTATCTCGAGCCAGTAGTAATATCACTGTAGTTGCTGTTGAGTTTCTTTGACCCCAAAATTTCCTGAGGTAATTCGGTCGTGTGCCTCCTGTAGCAGTAATTCTCTTAGTAAGGCGTAACCCAGTACCCAGATGCGATGGGGCACGGACTTTTACGTAATAAACCCCCCTTTGTTGCTGCAAATTGCTACGAATTTCCTCCGGTGGGGAACAGGTTTGTTTG